CATATACACAGAAAGAACAGAAAGAAGGGGCAGATTCTATTCCATCTATTAGGCATGTGAGTGAACTTGGGTGCCTAAGAGTGATCCTATTCCAAGTAGTACAAGTCCCTGAAAAACTGTTTAAAAAAAGATGAATGGGTCCTCCTCTCATTGCTGACAGTATGTGACTCAATCTTAAGAATGAGATGACAGTGAATTAGAAAAGTGGATGCATTAATGGATTTTCAGTTGTAGCCGTGTTGGTCTTAGGGCATAGGCAGGCAAGGTGCCTTGAGTAGATGTGATATTTTTTATTAGACCAACTGAGTAGTTGGAAAAAAGTTCTTAGCAAGCTTTCAGGCACAGTCAACCTTCTTTAGGCATCAGAAGTCTCTGAGAAGCAGAGAGTCCCTATGCCTGAAGAAGTGTGACTGCACCCAAAAGCTTGCTAAGAACTTTTTGCCAACTCCTCAGTAGGTCTAATAAAAAATATCACATCTACTCAAAGAACCTTGCCTACCTCATGGATTTTTCAGCACTTGAACAAGGTAGAATACATGTGCACTTAAACACTTATGCTAGGGACAAACATTACACATAAACCAGTTTAAGGGATCAGAAACTGGTTTAAACCTGTAACAGAATAGATGTTCAGTGCACATAAACCAGTCTCAGAATGGCTGGAACTGGTCTGAGATAAACCTGGTTGAATGTAGTATCAGACTTAACTGATTTGACTCAAACCGGTTATGCAATGTCTGTTCCAGACCCCTTGCTGGTTTAAATTAAATCAAACTCCCCCAGCATCCCAGCATGCTCTCTGAGCTGGGTGGGGCTCTCTGCTCCACAGCAGGGATGGCCCCTCCTCTCTGCTCCTTGGCTGCAGTCTCTGAAGGCATCTGCCTGACTTCTACTCCCCCTTTCCCCCCCCCCCCCCCCACCCCACCCCCACACTCTGCTAAGCAGGCATTCCCCTATCCCTCACAGACACCTCAGCATTAGCTAACAGACCACATGCTGGCTACCTCCAAGCTGTGGCACACAGAATAAAGGCAGAATCAACGGATAGCTGGTAATGTCCCTCTGTTTTCTTAATGGAGTGATAAACAATGAGTTAGGGGTGATAAACATTCCCTGCTGGGCTGTCAGCTGTTTGTAAGGGGGGAGGACCCTTCCTTATCACAGGTTCCCGCTGGGGCCTGGCCATGCCCCCTCAGCTCATCTCTGTCTAACGGAAGGGAAAGTTGCTCTAGTGCCCTCTGCCTTCTAGCCTGAGCCACTGCAGGCATGTGCCTGCATTTCTGGGATGTCTGTCTGGTTACAAAACAGATTTAGCCTAGCCAGGTTATGCTAACCTGGAAAGATTGAATCATTTCATGCTCAGGCTTTTTGAATGTTTGTCCCTAGACATTACACATAAACCAGTTTAAGTGATCAGAAACTGGTTTAAACCTGTAACAGAACAGGCATTCAGTGCATATAAACCAGCCTGAAAATGGCTAAAACCAGTTTGAGATAAACCTGGTTAAATGTAGTATCAGACTTAACTGGTTTGGGTAAAACTGGTTTATGCAATGTCTGTTCAAGACCCCTTCCTCTTTTAATTTATAATAGAGTCCCCCAGCATCCCAGGTGCTCTGCATCCCATGGTGGGAATCTCTGGTCCAGAGAGTTGGGCTGGCCCCTCCCCTCTGCACCCTGGCTGGAGTTCCAGCAGAGACCTGCAGGCATAACACAGAGGCATCTGCTTGGCTTCCTTGTGCCCCCGCCCCCACCACCACCACCACCACCACACACACACACACACACACACACACACACACACTCCTTGCTCAAGCAGAGATTCTCCCCAGAGCACGGGCTATAGCCAGCATGTGGTATGCGAGCTAATGCTGAGAGGTGTCTGTGTGAGACAGACAGGACAAAGGCAGACAGGGCAGTGGAGCTTTTTGGAGGTAATCAACAGGTAGCTGGCAATGTCCCTCCATTTCTTCCTTGGAAAAAGATATTTAAGAAGAGCTTGAACTAAAGAGAGAGGCTTTGTTTCATTTTGATGGTTTGATAAATGTGATCAACTCCCTGTGTAACTCCCTGCTATGTAAGTAAATGCAGTGTAACTCTGTGATGGCTCCCTCGCTGGTCAGGAAAAGTGGGAGGTGGGGGCTCCCTATGCAGAGCATCCTGACAGGGACTGGCCACACCACCCCCATCAGCTCAGCATTGTGGAAGGGAAGGGAGGGCTGCTCTACTGACCCCCAGCTTCTAGCCTGAGCCACTGCAGGCATGTGCCTGCATTTCTGGGATGTCTGTGCAGTTACAAACTGGTTCAACTTAAGCAGGTTAGACTAATCTGCAAAGATTGAATCCATTCAGGCTCAGGCTTTTTGAATGTCTGTCCCTAGCCTTAATCCACCTAGACACCCAATAGGTGGAATAGGATCTGGCCCTGTGTCTTCTAAACTTGAAAATCCTGTCATCATTATATGGATCTAACACCAACCTTTCACATGCCTATCATTAAGCCAACAGCCAAAAGTGGGCAGACGAGAATAGGATGGGGTTCAACATAGACAAATGCAGGGTGCTACACCTTGGAAGAAGGAATCCACAGCATACATGCAGGCTGGGGAGTTCCCTTCTTGAAAGCACAGAGGCAGAAAGGGATCTCAGAGTCATTATTGACTCCAAAATGAACATGAGCCGCCAATGCCAGACCGCAGCCAGCAAGGCTAGCCATACCTTGTCATGCATCCAAAGGTGCATCTCAAGCCGGTCCAGAGAGGTGATACTTCCCCTCTATGCAACTTTGGTCAGGCCACAGTTGGCCAAAATCTGGAACCAACTTCCCAGGGAGGTGGTCCTCACCCCTAACTTGGGCAAATTCAAGAGGAGGTTGAACAATCACCTGTCTGGGGTCTTGTGAACCCAGCATTCATTCCTGCCTGTGGCAGGGGGGCAGGCTAGATGATCTGTTCAGGTCCCACCGGACCCTAGCTACTATGAAACTATGAGTTTAATTCAGTTCATACCTAAGTGGTAAGAATGCCCATAGCAAGAAAAAGCCAAATACCAACACAACATATACACTGCAAAACTGAAAATAGAAATATTCTTTTCTTTGATCATATACATGAGTTCAGACAGTGTGGCTCACCTTCTATCCCTAGACTATGCTCTGCCCACACTCAAAGCTCTACAAAGCACCTCCAAGTAAACCCTTTACCATTGCATATAATTGTATCTAAGGTAACAAACACCAATTCTGACTATGCAGGCAAATCCAGCTTTAGATGTGCCTAGGTTCCTTATCACTTAAGGGAAAGGAAGAGATAGAAATCTAAATTTACTGAGTATTTCTGATGAACCATACATTCATTTTGCTTAACATAGTCAAACAATGTAACTGGATTTGTGGTAAAGGCAAATTCGCAACTGGAACACTGTGGACTCAAGTCTTTTTCTGCCTCATCTGATTATTCTAATAACAATTTAACATGGCTCCACTGGAATTTCTAGTACCTCTAGTACAGATTGAATCCAGCCATTTATGCAAAACAACTTTGTTTACACAAACTAGGCCTAATTATGGGAACCATAACCAGGAGTTGAAACACCTTCTTAACAAAATAAGTCTAGCATTAGCCAAAAGGTAGTACAGACTAGGGCCAAAGTCTTGTGTTGATATATAGGCTCTAGGTAGGGCATGAAGGAGAGTTACAAACCTTTGCACTTAAAACTCATAACACTCAAGAAAAAAAAAAGTTCTTTTAAAACCTAGTATCTTACAGTGTTAGTAAAATACATTGAGAAAAAGAAAAGGCCAATGATATTAAGACATATATCCCTTATTTCCTTTTCTCTTAAAAAGAACATTTATGGACAGGATATTTTTTGAATCAACTTCCAGAACACTGAAGGGGTTGTACAACGGTTTTCAACTTTTACATTTGTGATTTACATTTATGCTGTCTGAGATATACAAGTTTTATTTTCTACTCTGAACCCATGAAAATACACATCAATGGATTTGGATGATTGTATCTGAATAGTGCTCTCTACTGTTCCATTTTCTTTTTATTGACTGAATCTCTCAGACTTCCTTGCCTTATTTTTCTTTGTCTCTGAATTTGGGACACCATCTTTTGCAGTCTGGATGCCTAAATACAAATGAGATATACAAATACAATATTGGGATCAGGATGAGAAAGTAGGCTGAGTGGTTGCACTTAAAAATTTATACTGTTCTAAAAGATTTTGATACAGTTCAATGTTAAGTGTGGGGTACTTCTGAGGCAATACTAACTCTAAAAATTCAAGATTTTAGTGGATTTACTCTAAAAGTCCACTGGTACAGCTGTAATCTGAATTCTGCATGATAATTTCTTCAGCGTATCTGTTACCTGATGAATAAGTCATTTCACAACTGAGTTTCCTTATGTTTTCAGTGCCTCAGCTGATATTCTATGAATTCCTTGTACATGATCTGAATATGTACTTAATATCATCATTTGTTGCATCAACATTATTTATGATAATATCAAATTTCTATACATGAGACCAAAATACAGTGAGTCACATGAAACTACTCTGGCTGCCAATTTTCATGAAACACTCATCTCTTTTTCCCTGTATCCATTCTGCTTTTCTTTTCATGCCTATCTTCAATCAGACTAGAACTGCCTTTGAAGTTTTCAATCACTTTCTTGCATGCTTATACTCTGTGTCTGTCTTCTAGCTGCTGCAGATCTTTGTTGTACTACCTGTTTTTTGATCCAAGCCTATCTTTTGGTTTCCTTATCTATTTCTTAATAAAGCTATTTCAGTCAATCCTTGACTTTTAAGTGTTATATTTTTGTTTCAGAGTATGAAACACTTTTTATAATTTTCCAGATATCTTTTAGAAGCTTATTTTACTTTCTTTTTTCCTGACATTTCATCATAGTTTTCTATACAAGCTTCCTAAAATTGTTGCATTCTCTATTTATATAACATATTTTATTCAATGTTTGAAATTGCTGGCAATTAAGGTTGAAAAATTCTCTCAGTTCTGGTTGTTTCAATTTTGTTATATCTGGAAAGAGGATTGTCTTGGACTCCTTTTGCATGGCTTGATTTTCAGTTGTTCCACACTAGATGAGGATTGATTCCCAACTTCATGTCTTTGAACACTCTAAAGTTCTCCATTTAGCAGTGTCCTTGATAGGAAAGAATGATAAGGTCATTGTGATTTATTGTAGTTCTAGCACCTCATCAGCATGAAGAAATCATTCACCTGCCATTAAACATAAACATTCAGCCTTCTCTTCTTGTGTTGGACTAGATTGTGTTGTAACATCTAGCCCTGTATAAGCAGCAGCATATTTCTCACCTCTTCAGGAAGTATCCAGTATCTTCCTTTATTCTATCTTTGTTCTAGTGGGAAAAAAAAAACAGACTCGGTGAGACTGACTCCTCCCACATCTCAACAGCCAATAACTCTCCCTCTTTCTTTATAAACAATACACCATGGAGCACAGCTCTTAGTTCTGGAAAATTAGTCATTTTGGATTATACTTAGACCATACTAAAGGCACTTAAAACATGATCATCTACATATTAAAGCTTGTTAACTCGAGCTCCATATATAAGCATTTCAAAGTTATGCCACTTAAAGTGATGGTCCACTCTGGGCAGTACTACCTAGCTTGTGTTAGGGTACCTTCAGTCTGCTGCGTGGAAATAAAATGAGCAATCTTCAATCCTTCGGCATCTTCTTGAAGACCCCCAAGGTAGGGGAGTGCACCACCTCCCTTAGAAGCCCATTCCAGATTCTGGCAACCCTTACTGTTAAGAAGTTCTTTCTAATGTCCAACCTAAATCCGGTCTCTATCAATTTGTGCTCATTTCTCCTAGTTACTCCAGGGAGTGCCCTAGTAACTAGGGCATCTCCTATTCCCTGCTGCCCTCCCCTGATGAATTTATAGGGAGCCACAAGATCATCTCTCAGCCTTCTCTTGAGAAGGCTGAAGAGATCTGGGTCCCTCAGTCTCTCCTCGTAGGGCCTTACCTGCAGTCCTCTGACCATATGAGTGGCCCTCCTCTGAACCCTCTCAAGATTCTCCACATCCCTCTTGAAGTGCGGACCTGTTTGTCATGCGTCTGCTAATGCATGGCAAAGTGCGGTTAGCCTTGTTGATCATTTCATTACATTGACAACAACGTTCATCTTGGAGTCAACTATGACTCCAAGATCCCTTTCTGCTGCTGTGCTGCTGAGAAGGTCATCCCCCAGCCTGTAAGTGTGTTGGTGGTTCTTTTTTGCCTAGGTACAGCATGCACTTGTCTTTGTTGAACTGCATCCTATTTTGTTCTGCCCATTTTTCCAACCTGTCCAGGTCCACCTGGATCTGTCCCCTACCATCTGGTGTGTTAAATTTGCCCCCTAATTTGGTATCATCTGTGAACTTGGACAGGGTGCTCTGTATGCCCTTGTATGCCCTTCCAAGTGAATCCTGAGCAAAAACCATTAGGTCAGCTAATCTTGCAGCTACAGCTTCACCTTTGGGGCCCAGTCAGTTCCACGATTAATACAAATAGTTAGTTTTATCATTTTGGTTAAACTTATGACAGACAAGTTATATTTGCGGGTTATGAACTTACAAGCTTTATATTAGCTAGTATTACCTGTTAGGCAAAATACCAAATGCCTCCAAGAAGCACATATTTATTTCTTATTAATCCCTCTGTTTCTGGCCATCATAGGCATGGCTATAGAGGAGGTCAGAGGCCATGTACAGTTCATAAGACAAGAGGTGCTTTGGGACATGTAGCACAAGGGCCAGATTGGGATCAATGGGGTCCAGGAGGGATCCATTGGCAGAAAGATGGAATTGGGCTTCCTCTAGGAGTCTTGGGCAGCCTCCCTTTCAAAAATTAACCAAGTACATCAAGGCATGGCAGATGAAAGAGAAGGGAGGGTACTCTAGAGCCAAAGCAGAACAGGAGCTCTGGGACACACCACTTAACATTTCATAGATTTAGTATGGTCTCAGTATAATGTGCAATTTTACCCCTTGTTTTGTTTCTTACAGGTCAAACAGAATGCCACAACCACTCTTTGTAAGAGAGGATATTGGTTCCTCTCCATTAACCCACCAAAATGCATCCTAACATTTAGAACTTTTTCCCCCTAATTTCTAACAGCTGATATCCTTACAAGCATGCTTTTTCCCAGGAGTAAAAATATTAGGAGTGAAAAAGCCAAACGATTTGGCTTTTTTTTTTTTTTTTTTAAACTTGGCAAAATAATTATTTTTCATTAGATCTACTAGTAGGTCATTTCCATCCATACATAGACAGAGTATCTCATTGGGGTTTTTTTCCATTCAATTTTATTTCATTAAAATTGGACACACGTGAAAGAGAATTGTGAACAAAGACTTGGTCTTGAGTGAGGAAGCATGCATGCATTTCTATATTTTTCTCAACCCCACTTTATTATTCAGAGTATGTCAGACAGCCTATGAAGCAATCTAGTTTCTCATGTCTACCAATACACCTGTCCTTGGCTTACAAGGGGATGTGATTTTTGCCTCTCAGTAATGCAATGCAATATAAAGAGGTGATGTTCTATATGCTATTTAATGATATATTAGATATTAATTTACCTCAGCTAGTAATACAAAACAAAACTATATACTAAGTTTAACACAGATTTATTCTTTAGTAAAGCTATCTGCTATCAATGTGTTTTGTGGCGCCATAGCAGAAATCATGGATCTGGTGTGTTTACCATAGAGAGAGAAAACTTTAAATTGAAAATACCCTTTTCACTTACACTATTCTAAAGGAACTTAAAACAAAATGAACCTCTTCTAGGTTGGCGGATCGCCTCCGGCGGGCTTTAAGCTAGGCTCATCGGTGGGAGGGGAAGATGAGGGCGGGGGAAGCCGTGGACCACCAAACCATGTGGCACCCACAAGGACAGCCCAGCCTGAAGAAGGAGAACATCGGGAACCTGCAATCCATGGGGCGACCAGCAATACAGCACAGGTAAGCAATAAGCAGGTTAGCAATAAGGGGCCCTTTGGGAATTGGAGCTGGGAGGCAAAAAAGGCACCAGTCACAGGGCTCAAGTGCCTATATACTAATGCAAGGAGCATGGGGAACAAGCAGGATGAACTAGCACTCCTGCTTGCAGAAAACACCTACAACTTAGTAGGGCTAACTGAAACCTGGTGGGATGCTGCCCACGACTGGGCGGTACATATTGAGGGTTATAGGCTGTACAGAAGGACAGGGTGGGGAAGAAAGGGGGAGGGGTTGCACTCTATGTCAATGAGCAATATACTTCGACCCTCATCAAGACGGAATCCAAGGATGAGGAAGTAGAAGGATTGTGGGTTAGGCTACATGGGGGGCAAGGAGAAAGGGATTTGGTGGTAGGGGTCTGCTACAGACCCCCACACCAAGGGGAAGAACTAGATTTGGGGCTCCTGAGGCAGCTCTCAGAGACCATAAAAACTAAGGAGGCGGTAGTCATGGGGGACCTAAACTACCCAGACATCTGCTGGGAGAGAGAGACAGCAAAGTCCCACCGTTCACGCACGTTCCTATCCTGCGTACAGGACCTCCACCTAACGCAGGAGGTACACGGTCCCACTAGGGGGAATGCCTTACTGGACCTGGTATTGGCAAC